AACCCGTGATCTCCACTCTGCCATACGGAGGTCTCGGTCTCCAGAGGACTGGGAAGACTTAAAAAATTGGTGCTCCTTTGCAACTCAGGAGCGCCGTCGGATACGTGAGGCGGACTGGCTATCCTTCACGGGATCTCTATCGTTCCAGTCGTCACCCTCTTATGTATGGAATCGGATTAATGCTATACGGGGTACTCGACGGAGGCCTCCTCCCCACCCTGACCCCGCCTCCCTTGCCTGCTCTTTAATGGAGGACTGGGCACGAGCTTCCTCCCCTGAGGCACTTCCAGATCCAATGCAGGAGGCAGTGCAGGCCCGCATCGATGCGTCTGAGCCTGTTGTTCGTGCTGCTCTTACCTCCCCTGCCCCCACTGATCATCCCATCACACAGTTCGAGCTTGACAGTGCTCGTCGCTCTAGAAAAGACACCTCTCCTGGGGATGATCAGATAACCTACTCCGTCCTCAACGCCTGTACTAATATTCCTAACGGCCCCTTGCTTGCTCTCTACAATATGTCTTATGAACATGGGGTTCTCCCGTCCAACTGGAAAAATGCCACTATTATCCCCATCCCTAAGCCGGGAGATCCTGGGAAATATCGACCCATTAGTCTTACCTCCTGTGTTTGCAAGATGATGGAGAGGGTACTCCATCGTCGCCTTCTTCACACCATAGGCGGCTTCCACAACTCCCTCAATGGTTTCATTCAACATCGCAGCACAGCACACTCCATTGCTTCCTTTTATTGCAATCAGACTGCCCGCGTCTCCGTCTTCCTTGATATCAAGGGAGCCTTTGATACGGCTCAGCCTGCCCTCATTTTAGCTGAACTTGCACGGTTAGGGGTTAAAGGGAGACTTCTACAATGGATCGCCTCTTACCTCACTGGACGTCAGGCCCGGGTTCGCGTTGAAGGCTCTATGTCTCCTGTTCAAGAAATGAACCTCGGCACCCCTCAAGGTGGAGTCCTGAGTCCCACCTTGTTTAACACTCTCATGCACTCCATTGCATCACTCCCGTGGCCGACAGAAGTTGTCCACTCAGGATATGCCGACGATGTCCTCCTCCAAGCCCCTGACTACCTCAGCATGCAGGAAGCCCTTGATCTGGTCTCCAGAGAGTGTGATTCACTTGGTTTCCTTCTTTCAACTGCGAAAACAAAAGCCATGTGGCACGGTCGTGTTGTACCTCCACCCCTTTTCTTATCAGGAACGCCCTTGGACTGGGTTAATGAGACAAAATACCTGGGTGTGTATGTAACTCGCACACGTTGTCAGATCCCTGAAGTCCGCTATCTTCGAGACATATGTTTTCGGCGTCTCGCTCCCCTCTCTACCATGTGCAGGGGTTCCCTTGGTGCCAGCATCCCTGTACTTCTCACCATGTACAAGTCTTTTGTCGTTCCTGTGTCGACTACGCCGCCCCTGCCCTCGTCAACATTAGTCGGACTGCTGTCAACCGTCTCGAAGTTATCCAGAGGAAAGCTGCTCGTATCATCCTTGGGGCTCCTCAGTGGACACGCTCTACTTCTCTATATAACGAACTTGGTCTTTCCCCCTTACAGGATCGTGTCCAGGAGTTTTACCTAAAAACTGCCGTTTCCATTCTACGGGATCCTAGGGGCAACTATGTCCAAACCAACTTGACTACTGCTGTTCGAGACCGACCTCCATCTAGAAGACAGTGGCGAGGGTCACTCATCCGAGCCCTTCAGGAACACGACCTCCTGCCTGATATTGTTGTCACCCCTGCTGTTGGTTCGTCTCCTTCTCCCTGGCTGGATTTTCAACCTGAAGTGATTGCCCTCGGTGGACCGCTCCCGAAATCCCAGGTGAACCCTGTTATTCTCTGCAAATACCACCTCTCCAGGATCGCTCACTGGTCCCCAGGTAGGGTCGTCCTCTACACTGATGGTTCTGTTGACCCCGCTACAGGTAGGGCCGGGGCTGGTGTCTACATCTCCCGTCCTCATGCCCCTGAGCCTATCAAACTGTCTCTCAGAGTTTCTGACGGGGCATCCTCCACTCAGGCTGAACTAATAGCCCTCCTTGCTGCCCTTCTCGCTGAGGAAGAAGCAGATGGTTTCTGCCCCTTGCTTGTCTGCTGCGATTCCAGGTCTGCTCTCGACGGGATCGCATTTGGATCTGGGGAAAATAAGGACCTCATCCTCCGAATACGAGGGTTAACATCCACACTTCAGGATGAAGGCCGTCCTGTGACATTCCTATGGATACCTAGTCATGTCGGTATCTTGGGGAATGAGGCAGCAGATGACCTTGCCAAGACTGGCTGCAACAAGGCCACACCTGACTACGTTGTTCCTCGAACACTCTTACAGATTAGGACCCAAATCCGCCGCAAACAGAGAGAAGCTCGGGAAGCAGCCATCCCCCTGGACTCCCCGCCCACATGGTACGATGTCCTCCGTAAACTTCCTGACTTCTCGTACGTCTACGGGAAAGGGTCGCGGAAGGGGGACGTGATTGCTGCCCGTATCATCATTGGGTATGACTTTGCTTGGGAGATTGGTATCCCCACATCCCCTGAGCAACGCTCTTGTGCGTTATGCAGAAGACCCGACAGCCGCACCCTTATTCACTACCTCCTAAGATGTCCCCACACACAACGCTTCCGTGACGCCTGCTGGACCACCACTCCACGACCCCCTGACGGAGACACGATGATCCTCCCAATACTGGCCAGATATTTTGTAAATAATATTAATTATGTGTTAAAGGAACATCCTTCCTTCCTTAGGCTTTAGTAAGCCCCTTTATAATATTTATACTGTATATACTTTTCACACTTGCCAGATGCTTCTGGTGTCATTGTACAGGGGTACCTAGTGACAGCACTAGGATCCCTCTTCCTCTATCAAGGAATAAACAATTGAAATTGAAAAAAAAATTGAAGAGTTGAAAGATGTCATTTACTACTGGGAGAAGTCGAGGAAACTGGCTTCAAGGCACCCAGATGTGGAAAATCTGAACTCAAACTTTGTGTCATGTTGAGGACACAATGGTTTCCTCCTTTAAACATAAGTTAATGATGAGGTGGAGAGATGCCCCACAGAACACAATTGACACTTTCTTTAGTAAAAGGCAGAGGGAAGAAGATGCTAGCCCTCAGCCTTCCACTTCAAGGAGGAGAGACGATGTTCATGGTGGAGAATCTGTCACTCCAGAGGTTCCCGACATTTTCTTGGAAGGTGACTCACCTTCCAGGAAGCAGTAAAATGCTTCTCCTCCACCTCCACTTCCTTCTCTTCTTCCTCCTCCACCTCCCACTTCAAATTCACATCATCATCATCATCATCCAGGAGCCTTCTACATACACACCTCAAAGTAAGTGTACATTTCTGCCTTTTTTGTTGAATTTAGGCAATTTTCTGTGAGCTGGAACCAATTACCCAAAAACCCATTGAAACAATGGTTTCTGTTAACGAGCAGCCTGCTGGAACGGATTGTGCTCGTTAACCGAGGGACCACTGTATTTACTTATTACCCAATCAGTCAGCGTTACTTTAGATATTACATGATACTTGTTAGCCAATCACTGGAAGACCTGTGAGCATGTGCAAGTTCTGGAATTTGAAATAGACAGGTGTAAGATGGCATCTGTCTGAAGGTTGCTCCTTGACAGATTGGCATGTAATTCAGTGAGTTTTTGAGAACAAATGCACAGCTTTTGACATTTTAAGAACTCATGGTGCTTTCCCTTCTTCAGTCAAGTGTCCAAGTTGTGATTCAGACTGTCAGTATCGCAAAAATTGGCATACTTGGTATTGCAGTAAGAGACAGACACTGCCCAAGTTAGTTTTTTTACACACCAGGGTCACTACCTTGGGTAGGAGGTTAGATCAGATCCTTCTGGTGTGTCTGGTTAGGAGGTTTTGTTTCATTAGTTTTTTGTGTATTTTTACCTCAAGATTTCCCTCTAATTCAAAACCCCGCCTACTTCTTGCAACCAACATTGTTGGTAATTGTGGGGGGGGTTGGGGGGGGAATCATATCTCTAACTATCACATTTCCACCAGAAATGAAGGTAAAATTTGTATGAAGCACTGTGAAATACACTATAAAAACTTGTTTTCCTAAGAGTAAGTCCTCGCTTAACATCATCCCGCTTAACATTTCGGTACTACGTCGCTAAACTTTTAAGAAACCAAAAATTTGTTTAATGTCCCGGTGATCGGATACCACATTTTTTTGCGTCGTCAGGGACTACTTTCTATGGCGCATCACCCACTTGTGTCTGGCCGTGTTAGGGCACTCGCGGCTCGGCGCGCTGCCCTCACTCGCGGAACGTCACAGCGTCCCCAAGTGACGCTGAGCCAGTCTTTGTTAAGACTTCACATCATTCGTGATGTTTTAGTGCTTTTGTTTTAAAACTGTACTCTAACCATTCAAAATTGCTTCCAAACGCCCATCAAGTGCTACTGATGCTAATGTAGTGAAGAGGCTATGTAAGACCATTACCCTGGCTACGAAAAAGGATGTATTAGCCCGTTCTGAAAAAGAGGAACGTGCTATGCACATAGCTGCTGTGCTTAGTCTAACCCCCACAGCGGTGCATACTATCCGGACCAACACTGACAAGATTAAGGTTAGTGCTGGAAGTGGTTCTTCTCCGAGTGCAACTAAGACAACTCGTACTAGAAGCACTGTGATACAAAAAGTGGAAAAGATGCTGGCAATGTGGATGGAGGACCAGAATCAATGCAATGCCCCTGTGAGCCTTATGGTTATCCAGCATAAGGCCAGATCCTTGTTTGACGACTTAAAGGCAGAAGAGGGTGAATGATCGAAGGAAGAGAACGTTACGGCCAGCCGAGGATGGTTTCAACGATTTAAGCGTCATTATAGCTTCCACAACATAAAGATGACTGGTGAAGTTGCCAGTTCAAATACGGTTGCTGCCGAGACATTCCCGCAAGAATTCAAACGGATTATCCAGGAAGGAGGATACTTACCAAAGCAAGTCTTCAATGTGGATGAGACTGGTCTCTTTTGGAAGAAGATGCCTGAGAGGACCTATAGCTCCAAGGAGGAGAAAAGAGCACCAAGTTTTAAAGCGCGAAAGCTGCCGGTGACTTCAAGCTGAAGCCTCTGCTGATTTCTCACGCTGCTAACCTACGGCATGGATAACCGGCGTCATATTTAGCCAGTTGTTAAACGTGTATGCCATCTTTGCAATAAAGGAATACTGTGCCAAGGAGAACCTTGTCTTCAAAATTCTTTTGATCGTTGACAATGCTCCAGCTCGTCCTCCCAATCTCGACTACTTGCATGACAGCGTAAAAGTTGTATTCCTGCCTTCCAACACGACAGCACTGATGCTGCCTATGGACCAAGGTATCATCGCCACATTCAAGGCGTATTATTTATGACGTACCATGGCCCAGCTGCTCAAGGCTACAGATGGTGATAATAAACCTACGATCCGAGAATATTGGCGTGGCTTCAACATTCTAAATGAAATTAACAACATTGGCAAGGCATGGGAAGAGGTTTCAGAAAGTTGCCTGAATGGTGTGTGGCGTAAACTGTGGGCCGAGTGCGTCAACAGTTTTACAGGATTCATGGACTTAGTCCCAGCAGTGAATAGGGATATCTTCAGCTTGGTTGGACAGGCAGGCTTTGATGAGTTGGAATCAGAGGTTATTGAGGACATCCTGGCATCCCATACAGAAGAGCTAACTATTGAAGATCTAACTGTTAAAAGAATACAGTCCCGTCGAAGACGAAGATTACGATGAAGAACCTCAATGAATGCTAATTACCAAGAGGATGGCAGAAGCATTCGACATGATCCAGCAAGGTATGCAAATCCTTGCAGATGACGACCCAAACAGAAAACGTAGCTCAAAGATTCGACGCAGCATTGATTACAGTCTTGGTTGTTGCTTTTATTTTTTTTATTTTTATGGGAATTAGCCCACCCCGGCACAGGTCGAACGACCCACAACAGGTCCTAGGGGGCGAAAAAATAAAAATTAAAGATATAAAAAATAAAAAAAAAGGTTATATTGAACTACACCACGAAGATGCCGGTAAACCAGCTTTTTAAAGTGAGACAGATTGTATGTGTACAGTATGGAAAAACAGAAGAAGGCAGAGCATTCCACAGTTTGGCTGTGTGAGGAAAGGAGGAGGTACTATAATGGGTTATTCTAGTGTGACCGACAACCACAAAGTGGGCACCACGGGCAAGACGTGTGTTACGAGCCCACTGCCTTGCCTGCGGTACACAGGATGCCAAATCCACCGAACATTGCCCGTTAAAGTAACTGTAAAAGAGAGAGAGTGAATCAACATTGCGTCGAAGAGAAAGGGAAGAAAGATTATAAACTAAAGGAGAGTCAATAAGACGAAATGCGTTTGATTCCACCCTATCTAACAGTTGGACAGAAGAGGAGCCACCCCTGATATGAGAGCAGTACTCCAAGTTAGGACGAAGCAACTGCTCAGAAGTGAAGCAGCAACGTCATCTGTACAGTACCCAACTTTCAGGAAGCAACTTTAGCAATGTTGAGGATGTGAGTGTATTAGCCTCTGTCACATTAATATTATATAAATATGGGCTAAGGACATATATTCATTATATACATTCTATCACCCAGACTATTGAGCATACAGCTACATAAGCATTTCTTCTGTCACACCTCCGAGGGTCGACAGCCCATAAATCTAGACTCAACCTTCAGTGTGTTGGTAGGCTGTTTAGATGATGTCTGTGTTGAAGGGTGGGTTATTCTCCAATCACCAGTCACCAGACTCCATAGAGTACAGCCCAGTTCCCCCAGTACACAGCCCAACATGATACCCTAAAGTCGTGTCGTGAGACCAGCTCTCCAGGCTGTACCTCTCTAATTATATCAGCTAATTACAAGCTAATAGCTAATGCTCATTAGTCTGTCAATACCAAATAATTGTACACACGTGACTACCCAATATAACTAGAAAATCACCACGCGTGTTTACATTAAACCAAGGAACAACGAGTGAAGAGAACAGTACCTGTGTGTCTTGTTTAACTTACGAGCTAAGATAATTACAAGTACAACTCGGGACAGCTGTGACGATTTCAACTATCAACCAATCTACGACTGTATCAAAGGTGACATGCCATGAGATTACCTGATACCTCACTCGGCTACATCAAAGGTACAAGCGACTAACCTACACTCAATCAGGCAAGTGTTAACAAGTGAGATAGATCGACATCATACCACAGCTAAAACATGTGGCTTCCATGACATATAAAGGAAATGGCGAGGCCTAGCATATCTATTTTAGAATTTGGCAGAATGATAGTGCCCTGAAGTGTAATTGGTAGGAGATGATCTAATATAGAAAGTTTAATAGGTAAATACAGTCGACCCTCGTTAATTCGGACTATTAGGGGGGGAGGGTATCCGTTTTAGCAGATTGTCCGAATTAACCGATTTAGGGGTTAATATCGCATTATATTTCAAAATCATTGTTTTCGTCACGATTTTATCCCACTTTCCACTGTAATACGTAATTAATTTCAGCAAAAATATTACATTCCGTGAATGTATTATATCAAGCACAGTTGGAATAGAATATCATTGTAATATAACAGTATTTTAACCGAAAACTAGTAAAAAACGAATAACATCTCAAGAACATCGAAAGCTTAGGTAAAGTCTTTTGTTTTCGTCATGTATTTTATCCTATTTTACATTGAAATACATCACGTTTCAGCAGAACTACTATTTATTTCCGAGAATATATTCATTGAGGCGCAGTTTAGGTAAAATATACGTGTGATGTTACAGTTTTTTAACTGAAAACGATTCGAAAAACATGTACCCTCTAGCCCTGTTCAAGGAGAGGACTGGGAGAAGCTGTTTGGTGCTGCAGACGATGACAAGGAAAATGATTTGGATGGATTTTAATGAAAATATTCAGAAATATGGTATCGTAGTATTTATTCAAGTCACTTAGGATAGAATATTATTGTAATACAACGGTTTTTTTTAACTGAAAACCAATCGAAAAGCGATTACGGTAACATCTTTTGAACGAACGAAAGCCATTGTTTTCGTCACGATTTTATCGCACTTTCCACTGTAATACGTATGTAATTTCAGCAAAAATATTACATTTCCGTGAATGTATTATATCAAGCACAGTATGAATAGAATATCATTATAATATAACAGTATTTTAACCGAAAACTAGTAAAAAAGCGAATAACATCTCAAGAACATCGAAAGCTTAGGTAAAGACTTTTGCTTTCGTCATGTATTTTATCCTATTTTACATTGAAATACATCACGTTTCAGCAAAACTACTATTTATTTCCAAGAATATATTCATTCAGGCGCAGTTTAGGTAAAATATACGTGTGATGTAACAGTTTTTTAACTGAAAAAGATTCGAAAAACACGTGTACCGTCTAGCTGATTGATACTCAACAGCATGTGGTGCGTCAGGCGTTGTTGTAAACAATAGGAGGTTGAAGTAGATTACCGGGTATTATATTACATGTGAAATATCGAAAAGGTTTTTATTACCGGTATTTTTTGTAGATCAATGAGTACTGTGATACCGTATATATGATATGATAAGTTAGCCTATGCTAAGAACTTCAACATAGACTACTGAAAACACGTTGTAAGGTAATTTAGCCTATTGTAAGTTGGTGAGCTTCATTTGCTGAAGGAACTGCACAACTTTTCATTACTAATTGGTACATATTTTACGTTTCCATTGTTTACTGGCAGTAAATGGTAAATATTTTTCATGTCTGAAGCTAAAAGTTGCATCCCCCCCCACACTAGTGGTGATGTTACATTTAACCAAAAAGATGCTGGTGTTTTATCCCAGCAGTGGGTGGACCAGCATTTTAGCTTAAGGTCCGCGTAGGTAATATTCTAAAAAAAGTTCGTTCAGATTTTGTCCGAATTATCCGAAATCCGGATTTAAGGGGTCCAAATTAACGAGGGTCGACTGTACATAGTGCATTTTAATAATGTAAAAAAAAATTTTCAACTGTATCTTTGGGTAGATTTACATAAATTTCTGGGTGTCTCTTTTTCTTCTCAGCACCACGAGAACTCTCGAGAACTCTCACTTCTACGCTTGCCAGCCATTTTAAAGGGAATTACAAACGAAAATTTTGTCAATACACAGCGCAATCACTAACATTGTGACTCGAAAATACGTAATTTTTTTTTTTTTGTACAACTGGGGCGGGTGTATGTCCGGGTGGTCATAGGTCGAGTATGTCGTAAGTCGAGGAGTAGCTGTACTTTAAAGTTTCTAAATGGACGTCACCTTAATGTACAAGTTATCTTCCTTCCTCCTAACACCACATCGCTTTTGCAGCCACTTGGCCACGAATTCATCTGTCACGTTAAACTGTTCTACTATCAGTCACTCGATAAAGACTTTTGTCAGCAGACAGACTCATTAGTTGAGTTACAACAAATTGAGGCAGAACTCTGACAATGACCAGGCTCTACCAGCACCAGCTAACCAGGAGGAGGAGGAGATGGTAGTTGACCCAACTCCAAGCACCTCACCACCCCACAACCATGAAGTGTTATCAGTTTGTGAATTTGGGAAGAAGTATAATATTAAAAATGCATTGGACAGAACTGTTGAGGCAAGGCGTAAGATTAATATTACAACAGTGCTACATGCATGGAAACCTTTGTTTGCTAACCCTGAGGTAAATGGCGGAGCGTTGCTAGGAAGACAGTTTCCCTGCTGGTCTGCATTGCTATGGCAAAACTGGGAGTATATGCAAATGGCATGTGTGTTGAACTTTCATTTGGCTTTACCGGTTTGACAATACAGTATTGTTTGTCAAGTAACATTAATTGGTGTTCTTTTTATTTATTCCTCGCATTTACTGGTACAGTACTGTATACTGTATGTTATTTTAAGAAAACTGTGGCTACAGCAGGAAAATGTTCATAATTTTTTTTGTCGTAAAATGCTATTTCTGAACTCTTACAAGCATTAT